ATTAAATTTGTGCTTAAGAATGCGTAATGATATAAAATGAATTGCGATTTTAGCAATGACAGTTTTGGACACACACACTTTCTACATTACAATTGAGTTGACACGGCATTTTGGAGCAAATTTGTTGTGAATTCTTTGAACGAGTTCAAAATACATGCGATTTTGTACATGAGAACGACTATTAAACAAATTTACCTGAGAGAAGTAATCGAAACAAATTTAAATTAAATGTTGTCTTTACCCTCCAGAGACATATTCTTGTTTAAGCCGAAGACAGAAATGAAAAAGTGAAGTTAGCATACATAAAAGTTTTTTAAGCATACAGCATACAAACCGAATAGGGCGTGTAGTTAGTGAAGTGAAGTATACAATGGCGCCGATCGTAGCATAAAATTAAAGAAAATAAATGGATTACATAGAGCGTAAAATCAAGTACGCACATACTTGTACTGCTAGTTTAGTACAATAGTATAATGGAAACATTTGCTCCTAAAATGGTGCTGCACCTCCAATGTAACATGGCTAAATGGGAAAGTTGCAATAAAATAAATTAATCTGTCGAGTAACACTTGTTAGACTAGTTTGGTGTACTGTTTGAGCCCAGTTGAGGGCAGACATATGAACATATATGAGTATGAAGAGTAGGGCTAAACAGTACGGTTGCGACAAGACCGCTGCTTGGCTCATTTGTTTGATGTCAGACCCGAAAGCTGCCTCATCATCATCAGCCGCAGCAGTGACAACAGCTGAACTGCTCCTTGGTCTTTTGATTTGATATGCGTTGTCCTTGTTGGTGGTTTCCTTCCTTCCTCTTGGCATTTTTTCACAAATACCTCTCACTATGTTGTTGTTCCTGCTGTTGGCGTCAACGCGTCTTTTGTTTTGCTTGTTTCGAGTACGCTCATGATTTTGTTCAGGCACTTGGGGTTCTGCGCTCTGCATTTGCTGCTCGGCGCTCGTTTTCTCGTCGCCTGCTTTCTACTTTTCACACCAAATGTGTTTACTTCTGGGCCATTTATCTTGCTTTGGCGCCTGTATACAATGTACTAGCTTTTATTTCTTTTTTTCTGAGGCTTATTTCATTGAGAATGCAAAAGTCAGCGGCAAAATTCTAAAATGTCGTTACTATGAAACATATTTATTTTGTTATACAGTTTGATGCGCATTTTCCTTGGCTCTAATCATTTTTCTGATAAAGTGATTTTATAAAATACATAGACATATAAATGCTAACAAAATATTTGAAAGTAAACAAAATTAGTTTACAGCAAGCATAACAAATGTCTTCTAGCTCTTATAGTCTCTGTGATCTGGGTGTTCATACTGATAGACAGACGGAGCTTAATCGAGTCGACTTGTCCTGCTGCTCAAGAATATATTCTATGTACTCTGTGGGGTCTGCCTCATAGTCCTTCCGTGTGTTACATTTTTCACTCTTAACACACAAACTTAATATGCTCTTCTACCGCCTAACTAACTATAATTACAACTAATTTATAAAACTCACTTCTGTCTTGTGGGCGTATGTGTAGCACCAATCCGTGCTATGCGTAGCATTTAAATAGGTGTCTCAGTGACTGTGACTTCAATTAAGGGGCCGTTAAAAAGGTCGAAGTTTGCACACTGGGGCGGCTACTGAATGATCTGTCTCAACAGCCTCAGTTGTTGAACAGCGCGCCTACAAATTTAGGGCACACACCCCTTTCGTTTAGTGTGTGTGTGTAAGCTTTTAGGCGGTCTTGCTCTGCCTTGTTGCAGTAACGCGAAAGTGCTTACGCCGCATCTTCAACAAGCCATAAAGTGTATGCACGGTTGAAGTGACTATGCGAAGCAGCAAAAATGCTGCACATGATGTTAAGGGCTGCCCTTTAAGACCATCATTAATACCCTTTCTATTCAGGCATTCTAATTTTTTCGTTAAAGTTTGTTAAGCATAGAAAATCAGTCCGCAGATAAAAACAAGAAAGGAAAGCTAGAGTCGAGCATGCTGAAACCTTAAATACCATGTACCCATAAAAATGTAAATAAATTAAATTAACGAAATAAAATTAAATAAAACATATTCAATACATACATATATAAGTATTTATGTATCGTGCCTGCGTGTGTTTAGGTGCTTGTAAGTGTGCAGTACAGAATTAAGACAACGCAGCAACAACAGCAACAGCTGCACGAAGACATTACATTTATGGCTATAATCTCTGCCGGCAGCTGTTGTTGTTGTTGCTGCTTTGGCTCAACTCTATACTGTCCACTTCCACGCATATAGACACGCAAGGATACAAGCGTTCTATATTTTTGATTTCATTAATTTTATTTAATTAGTTTAATTCTAAAAAATTATTTATGAAATATTAAATTTTTTTTGGAGGAAGTGGGAACAGAGTTATTAAGAGTTGCATTCAACATTCCTTTCATGGCTTAATTTTTTTTAGAAAAGGGTAAAGGGTATTTAAGAGTTAGGCGAGCTCGACCCTAGCATTCTCTTATCGTTTAAAAATCGATTCTTGGATACATATGTGCATGAAGATAACTCTTTTGTGTTTAAAATGTAAATAACTGTACTCTACTGTTTTAATCATACGTCTATGTTGGTTGCATTTATAATATTGGTTTTTCAATGCAATAACTACAAGTTAGCTCTGTTTATTTAGAACTACCCCTTTTAAAGGGCAACAGGCTACGCTTATATATGTACATATGTATGTATGTATGTATATATTTTGTGGAAGTACCAACTGCTTCCGGTTTTTATTATCCTTTGTATTTAATGGCCTTAGACTAAATTTTTCTAGTAGCAGGAACGGCATTCGCGTAGGTGAACCGTAATACCCAAATTGATTATTATTCGGGAAGGGGTCTGGTAGAAATTGGCTCTAAAATGTTTTGCAGTCCATTCCAACGCTTCAGACACATTGTGAAACATTTTCAGGTATTTTATTTGCATTTATTTTCATTCTGAACTTAAACTGGAGTGGCTGATTAAAAACAGGAAAAAAGGTTAAAGTCGCTCGGCAAACATTTGAAGTCATAGCTTAAATAGGCAGCACAACAAAAAAATTAACAGTCTGCTTACACATTCTATTGCAAGTTTTATTACAAAATTGTGTTGCTCTTCTAAGGTAGAGAAGAGAGAAAAGCTTTCTTGTTCTCTTATTTTATCTCTCCCTCTCTTCTGCAAACGATTTGCCACATTCGGTTATTTCTGTGTACCAGGCAACCGCATCACTCCACATATTTATTTCATTTACTTTTATTAGCATCCGTGAAGCTATGTTTTGTTTCTTTTTATCACCTATCAAAAACGTACAACTCGGAAAATCTAAAGGCTTGTAATCATATTTGAAGGGCTGCTTACTGCAACTGAAACCAAAAACGACTGACGCAGTATTGTTTGTACATAGTACATACATACGTAAATGATACATCAATTCCATTCAGCTTAATGCTTCAAAACCGAACAGATTTTAAAATATAACAGTTATATAACAGTTAACATCATGCCTCTATGTTTTCCTTCTGTTAAGATTTTTCGGATTTACGGTCTCCCTAAAGTTACATTCAGCAATTTACGATATTTAATATACGACCAACATCTTGACAATTATTTTGAACGATGAGCATACACATACATACATACTAGCATAGCATGCTGTTAGTTCATAATCATCCTCGAAACATTGTCACTTTAAATATTAAGGCAATATTATTCAAAAGCCCCCAGACAAAAAAATATTACAAATCGATCGACACCGTGATTAATATTGAAGACATTTAAATTCACTAAGCCCTTCGGGACTGCCGCCACATGAATTGTCGGTAAAATTCGGAATTGCAATCATGCTTTCCAAGCCTTCCAAGCATATTAAGGAATTGCAGGACAATTTAAGTGTAGCAACTATTATCAATCAAAAATCAAATCAAAATCAATTTAAAAATAAATAACAAATAAAACATCAAATATCTTTTACAGAGAACCTCTGACCTAATAAAGAATAACAAAAAAAATCTAAAACCAACAAAAAATCATTAAAATAATAATATCTAAAATAAATTTTACTCCTTCTTAGTAACTCATAGCAAAAAGAAGGGTGTATGTGTGTTAAATCTGTGTGTATTAAATGTATAATATTTAAAATTGTAGTAAAAATACCCGTGTGAAGCAGGGGCAGAACGCTAGTATTATATAATCACAAGTATCGATAAAATGGTTGTGTGGAAAAATATATCAATGTAAGTACATATGTCTGTATGTATGTACATAAATAAAGCACAGAGAAAATTGATTAGTCGCTAATTGAACAAATTAATAAAAATTTTATTGCCATTTTTGATATGCTCATACATCATCAACGGCACTTTCACGTAATGACGTACTAAGTCAAGGATGCATTTGACTTTGTGCGCATTGATCCTCCAAAAACAAATCGATTTTCAGCAAACAAAATTACAAACGATTAATTTTCACCTTTACTTCCATTGATTGTGCTTTAGCGGCTCCGGTGTTCGGTTGTAACATTTTTTCGGCACAATGAATTTTACAGAAAACCTTATTAAAATTTCGACGAAAGTGGAGTGTTCTCGCGGGAAGTATGACGATGAATTTACCCTAGCATGTCGTGGTTTTATTGTAACCAAAATAAACAAAAGAAAAAACGAACCACACCGCTTTTTAGGTACCCTTACCCACGCTTTGCATGCATAACATACATTCATACATACAAATTTCAGCCACCATCGCTTCTGATGAAACAGTCGGTGACGCATTTAATTTGATAATTAAATTCAACTTTGAGCTAAAACCTGTCACAGATAAGGAGCGGCCGGGCCTTTTTATGCTATCTGCTGGAGATATTCAACATCCCGCCGTGGTGAATGGTTTTCTTAGCCGCAGGGCCCTACAAGAATGGCTGCGACAAGAAATATTTAATGCCACTTCCTATGATGGTGGGTGCACTTACAAGGTTATGCACCAACAAAGGAATCTGACTTTTAGACCAATGCTGGAATTCGGTTATCAGCAGTGGCCATTTGCTGCACCACCATTGAGAGAAAAAGTGTATCAGTCACGTCCCTGGTATGCTGTGCCGCAATTGGTACAACCGGGCAATGACAGAACTTTTGTACCTTTTGCTCCGAGCTGGGAAGATGATATTCTGCATTCCGAACATAATGCAAATATTGTCGTAAGCCTTATGGAGAGGCTGCGCGATTTTCATAAAATGAAAAAGCTATCCAATTACATGATCAAGACAGTTGTGTTGACGGAGCTGGCGGAGGGCGACTTAGACTGGGATCAAAGCTTAGACATCATTTTTGTGGCGGTGTGGGAAAAGTTAATTCAGCATTTAAATAATGGGAAGCTAGGTCGCTTTCTTTCGCCACAATATAATCTTTTCGTCGATATGTCTGCGGTTGATGTTGAAAAATACTACTACACTGCCAATAAAATATTGCAGCAGATAAAAAAATTGCAGGGTGTTGAAGAAGTAACGTTTGATAATGTAAATAACATCTTCTTTAATTGGTAATTATCCATTTATATTTCCGTTTTTAAGTGAACTTAATCAAACATGGTACATATTTGTAAACTGCTAATATATGTAACTATTTTGGTTTTTTCTTGGAAATAAAATATTGCTTTGATTTGTGACTGCATTTAACAATGCTCGTATGTGTTGTAGTTGTGTGAATTTGAATGAATTCATAGAATTTTAAAATGTACGTGGCGTGGCACATGTGTATGTGCATATGTATGTATATACATACATATGTATGTACATGTTTTGAATTGGAAACACAAGTGTTGAAGTGCAAAATTAAATACATAGCGCCCGCGTGAAAAAATTTAATGTACATTCTACATACAAACTTATCTTCATCGCAATCTACTTACACACATATGTTCGTATGCATGTAGATATATAAGTATGTATGTACTTACAAATGCTTGTACTGCATGACCAGAGTCTGACCCCCGCCCCTCATCCGCAAGCTTTGACCGTTGCCATTCCACCACAGATGGGGAGATTTTGGCTTCGCACGCTTGCTAACGTAGCTGTTCGTATTGGTGCCATTCTCAGAAGAGCTTCTATTCCAAGTAAAGTACAAATTAATATACATACATACATACATATGTATATTATAGAAACGTAGATATCGATAAAAAAAAAAGGTTGCGTAGAAAAAATATAAATGTGATGGAATGTAGGTAGATAAGTACGTACATATGTATGTATGTAATGCATTTGACTATGTCCGAATCGATCCTCCAAAAACAAATCGATTTTCAGCAAAAATTACAAACCATTAATTTTCAGCTTTATTTCCATTGATTGTTCTTTAGCGGTGTACGGTTGTAAAAATTTTTCGGCAGCATGAATTTTGAAGAAAACCTTATTAAAATTTCGACGGAAGTGGAGTGTTCTCGCATGAAGTATTACGATAATTATACCCTGAGGTGTCGTGATTATGTTGTAACCAATATAAACGAGAGAAAAAGCGAACCACACAACTTTTTAGGTACACTTACCCACGCTTTACATGCATAACATACATTTATACATACATATGTATGTACATACATGTATATGTACATATTTCAGCCACCATCCCTTCTGATGAAACAGTCGCTGACGCATTTAATTTGATAATCAAATCAACTTTGAGCTAAAACCTGTCACAGATAAGGAGCGTCCGGGCCTTTTTATGCTATCTGCTGGAGATATTCAACATCCCGCTGTGGTGAATGGTTTTCTTAGCCGCAGGGCCCTACAAGAATGCCTGCGACAAGAAATATTTGATGCCACTGGAATTCGGTTATCAGCAGTGGCCATTTGCTGCAGCACCATTGAGAGAAAAAGTGTATCAGTCGCGTCCCTGGTATGCTGTGCCTCAATTGGTACAACCGGGCAATGATAGAACTTTTGCTCTGAGCTGGGAAGATGATATTCTGCATTCCGAATACAATGCAAATATTGTGGTAAGTTGAAAAATACTACTACACTGCCAATACAATAAAATATTGCAGCAGATAAAAAAATTGCAGGGTGTTGAAGAAGTAGCGTTTGATGATGTAAAATCCATCTTTGGATGGTAACTATCCCTTTAAATTTTAGTTTTTAAGTGAAATGAATCAAACATGATACATATGCTACTGTAACTATTTTTAATGTTTCACGGAAATGCTCGCAATAATTAATTTCGGATGAAAACATCAAATAATTGATTGACGGACTAACCGGCTAATTTCCGACAAGCAGGAATACGTAGCCATGTATTTATATAGCTTGTATGGTATAGTTGAGGAAGCCCGAAGGCAGGTAAAGATTTGACCCAACTTTATGAGATGCATACCAAAAACGCTCAATCGTGATGTCTCCTACTTGCTTGTTGTTGCGCTGGCTCAGTAATATGATTTTTGCTTAGACCAAAGCGGTTACATAAGCAGTCAAGCAGTACAAGTATTTGTATGTATGTAAATACATATATAAATTATTAAAACGAGCAGTCCCGTTTTGGAAGACGTGTGCGAAATCAACTGCATATGTATGTAATACACCGAGTATGATCACCAATTATACAGGAGAGACAGTTTTTTATGAGATTGAAACAAACGTCCCATTCAATAATCTAATTGTGAAAAATATATGTACACATAAGTTAAAATTTAAACTTCAGCTGTGTACTGACAGTTTTGGGACTTCATCGTGTACTGAATTAGAAAATATTTCACATTCGAAGCAACCAGTCGTGGGTTTCTATTTTATATATAAATACTATAAATATGGCTGTTTCTACGTGTACAGGCGTTTTAAAACCGCTGCCACCGGTTTATCAAAAACTTGTAATAAAGAATTTAACCATCATACGTCCACCCATGCTAAAAATATACTATTGGGATAGTTTCGATATTACAGGGTGAGTAGTTTTTTTACGCAAGACTTTTGCTAATTTTTTGTCATTAGCCTAAACAAGAAGCTGAAGTCAAATAAGAAGGAACATGAGCACTTCTTCGACATGCCAATGCGTCTTATTCACAGCCATCCACTCAAGATGATATTTTGGATACAGAATCTCTCAGCCAAGCCCCTTGAACTCACTTTAAAACGTATACAGAACTGCGAGTGTGTTCCGCTTCAGACACGGGTCGGATTTAATCAATTTCGGCAGCTTTTCCACTGCCCCCACCGCCGACTCATCAACATTTCCCAGGAGCATTTACGTATGAAGCCGGACGAGGTTTTAGCGTTATCTGTAACCGGATACTTTTACCTTTACGGTGCACATGCTCTCAGCTTCGAAGTGCAGTAAGTCCACCAACCAGTTAGTGTAGTAAGCCTTACTTTTATGAAGCGCTTTTCTCAGGACTAGTGATGAGAGACAATTTCTGTGGCACTTCAAATTGGAAATCTCCGCCTTTGATCTTGAAAAGTGTTTAGTCACCAAGGAGCTGCTGCCAGTGAACATAAAACATTTTCAACGCGTTACTCAACCGATTTGGGTGCAGAATATAAGTATGATGAACTTGGCATTCTCGTTTGCTACACGTGATCGAGGCCTGAAACTGCATAATTCTAATTTAACTGTACCTCGTCAGAGTGTATGGCCATTAATGGCAGAATACCGACCATTGGACTATGAGAATGAGGTAGGTGATGAGAGGGGCAAGTCTTGTGGTATGGAAAGACAATTTAGTATATAGAATTGACAAACTTAGAAACATTCTTTACTCTGCCGCTTTTAAGCAGTTTTAATATATTTATATCCCCCACAATCATATATGTTAGCTCGAAGTAACGTTGATCCATGATAATGCTAAGATTTGCTATAAAATCAAAGCACGCGGAGTACTGGAGGATGAAGCGGAAATATCTGACATGCCTTTAAAGGATACGGAATGCTCTGAATATCTTTACGTGATCTATCCGAATCGCTTGGATTTTGAAATATGTTTAAAAGAGAGTCGCACACAGGTAGTTAATGTACACAACTATGGACAGAAGTGCATGGAATTTCGCTGGCAAAAGTAAGCATTGGCATATTTAGCTGTTAAGCAATCAAATAATTAGTATACTTCTATCAGTTACATCATACATGAATTTCTTTCCATAACCTTCGAGCCGCAGGTATTTAGGCTAAAAGGTCATCACTCAAAACTTTGCCAAATAAAACTAACCGTTCACGAACGGTTGTTGCACTTCCGTCGCATTCCCCTCGTACTAGAAGTACATAATATCTTGGACCGTACTACCCAAATAGCCAAGGCAGAATTAGCTGAAATCGAGTCCATCGATGACCCGAAATGGATGGGAGATAGCTATTTAGAACATGTATTTCTGCAAATGAACATACGCACTATTGTACACGCAGCGAAAGATATAGAAAAAGAAACTATAGAGAGCGTCGATACGCATGCTGGAGGTGACGCAACAATTTGTGCCGGTGGTAATACCCCAAATCCCAATAAAGATGTAGAAGCCGGCGAAGAGCTGGAGCCCAAGACTCCCGAACAACTACGCGATGAATTGATTAAACGACTGTCCCACAAACAAAAACTAACAGCCAATGAGATTATTGAACTAAGCATGGCAATCGATCAACGGGTGACCGTGTTTGAAAAGCTGTTCTGGAAATATTTATCCAAAACCAATTTCATGCGTATCACAGCCGACCGTAGTCGCCGCAAAATTCTGAAGACTTATGAAATGGTGGTAGACCCAGAAGCATCCAGCCCGCCGGCTGAGCGAACCACAACCGTGGATAGGAAGTTCGTATAAACAGAACCTTTGAATGTCTTAGAGACACATTGACTTTTAATTTCTTCTTCAGCGAAATAATGGAGATCCTAGGTCGTTTATTATTTGAGGGCATAAGTGATCTAGCCAAAAACTGGGTTTTCATTCCATCTCAGTACTTTGAACGCTTGCGTTAAATTTTAAAGCATGCTCGTAACGTTACAAGTTAAATATCATATCATATTGTCAATCAATCAACAAAATTGTGGACCTACATATTTTATATTTGCGTGTATGCTCTAACACATACATATTTAAATATATTTTATTAAATGCAAATATACATATTATTTGCGATACTGTAGATGATTCTAATCTGAGATTAGTTCTGCTGGGAGAACTTAAGCAGAGACTACATTAACCCCTCAACGAGAGAATTGGGCTTCAACTGGTAAACATAAAATTAAAGATGTTTTTTAATTAAACACATCATTTCATAGCTTTATTGAATAAATTGTTCTTTTTCATTTGAAAATTTTCAGAGTAGGCAAGAATGAATCTTAGTAGATCTTGCACAGATTATACAATAAATACAATACGTACATACATAGACCCTATTACTTGGCGTATTTAAGTAAATTGAATGCCATTTTGAAGAAAACTAGTTAAGGTGTACGAGGCAGGGTGCAAATTTTTCACCGTTTCTATGTGTAGTGAATAAGACGGTAATTAATATAATAATTGGAATAGATGACTGTTATTGATGATTAAGATAAATACATATTAGCTACAACAACATTTACTGAGCCACCAATATTTTGACAATGTTTATTAAACGACAAGAAAAAATAGCATAGTTAGTTTATAAGCTACATATCTGACGTAATAAGTATCTGTTCGTGTACTTAACAAACCAAACAATATTTAAATAAAAAAGCCGAATATTTAATTTTTATGTGTAATCAAACGGCTTCAAATATGTTATGTTTAGCTTAAACTTGATTAATTAAATGCCACTAAAGTTCTGTTATATTTTTGCTCATGACGTTTAGATAAAGTTTCTCACCCATTTCATTCAACAATGCTGCTTAAAATTAGTACATTTGACTAAGGGTTATCTACTACTTAAGACGTTTTCAATTTTTTTATAGTAATTTATATACCATTTTAAGTTCTTTTAACGTGTGTATACGAAGAGCAATTCTTGTTAAAGGATATCGACAACATGCATTCGAAAGAGATTATTGCGAACATATTTTTTGATAGAATAGTGTGACTGAATGGACAACGCACAAATTTCACAATTAACAAGTAAGTGCCCGATTTGGTTATTTTATATATTACGTAACTGATCGTATAATTCCTCGTACTTATGAAAAACAAATTTTCATGCTGAAGTGGAGGAATTTAACTGAAAATCCAAATTAAAAAAATATTTCATCCAATTGTCTGTGTAAGAAGTTTCTCTACAGATTTAGTGACATAGTTAAGTCATTAATTGAGACAGTAGTGTATTTGCTCTGTGATTGGCGATAGGCTGATAGATTAAAGAGAGTGCACTACAGCGACTCTGCCCCGATCAGGGGATATAGCACAGACCACTGCAGGCATTGCACAACCTTTTCAGTTTTAAACACAAAATAAAATCGAGACCAAAACAAGTTTTACACGAATTGGATCTGACAACACTATCCCCTAGTTTACCACCACATTAGATTGCATATTTATTAAGTATTGTAAAAGTATAAAAGTTTTCCATACATATACTTCAAATTTTGTCTGGTGTCGCATTCGTATCTCACGGGCTTAAGCTTATATTTGTGGTTATTATTGCCCATATCTTTTTTAGGGATCTCTTTTAGGATATGCGCTTTTGTCTTTTTGCAACGAAATTGTTGAAAAGATAATTGGACAATTTATCTTCCCAGGTCTATATAGCCTTTTAGCCTAGTTTGCCTTATTAGTTGTCCTCATTTCATAAATCCATGTTAAATCTTTTGTTACAATACTAATTAATGATTACGTATGTTTTACATATGATTTTTGTATATTATTGTGCGGTGTGTTTGTTCGATACCATACCATTTAGTATATAATATGTATATAGTACAGTACATTTCTTGTATATATTTAAACTTTTTAAAATACCCTTGTTTTTTGTTATCGGTTTTCATTTATAAAACATTTTCCCTTAAAAAATGTATGTATAATCGATTGCTTTTTGTTGTTGTTACTTTTACTTAATTGCAGTACGCAGTTTGTTTACCTTATCCTCATCGCACACGTACACAAAAAACAGTGCCAGCTTGTGCTCTCGTCTCGATTTGTATAAAAACTTATGTTTTCTTGGTGTTTTCTCTGTTATTTTAGTTGTTTACTTGAACTTTTTAAAAATTTACTGGAAGGGGTCTCGTATGTCTTTTTTTTCAAAAAGCAAGATTTGCTATATTTTCAGTCAAGCTTTCGCGCATGAGTATGATTTTTTATGCAAATTTTGTATGTGCGTTTGTTTTATATTGGTAGTCAACCCATAACGACTTTGCTATTTTGGATGTTGTATATATTGTGTTTCCATTTATTTGAAATATTATTAATAAGTTTTAAATAGCTGCAATAAATCTTGTTCGACATACAAATATGTATGTATGCCTATACGTGAAAATGTTATGCTATGATTCTGATATCCTTCTTTTTCGCTATCAGTTTAGACAATACTCGTATGAGATGTAATGTATATATATGTATGTATGTATAAACATTTAAAATTTTCAATACACAACATCAATATATTGTTAGTCATATCATTTTTGTTGTATACATTTTTATGGATTTGTATATAATGAAACATAGTATGCTTGTTATTAAAATTTAGGAGTTACCTCACAAATACCGATTTAAAAGTGTTGAAAGTAAAAGATATTTTAAAAATAGAAAAGCGGAGTTTAATTCGAAAACAATTTCCCAATAACCATTTCACAAACGATCTTTAGCTACATAATCGTGTTCCAAGCACCATAATATTGTTATATAGAACATCTTTTTTTCTTCAAGTGCATTGTTTTGTTCGTGCTAAATGCAGTATTACATTTTAAATAGTTTATTTTTGATATCTTACAAAGTCTACTAAACACTTTATTTTCCTTACTTAGTATTTTCATATTTCATTTATTTATATAGCTTCGACTTTATATCCTTCAGGCCCATTCTGTTTTTAACTATAAATAGAACATTTGGCATGGATATTTGCTTTTTGTATTTCTTGTGACAGTTAGTTTGAACAAATTCATTTTTCTGAAACGCATTTGTCAAGAAACACACATTTTTGGTACCTTTAATCAATTATTTGTATTGTGGTGAAATTGGAAAGATATTTATAATCCATATCATGTTCAATGTTTAATAAATAATAATGTGTTAAATAAGCAGTTGTTTTTGTGCATTGATTTTATATATATATTTATTTTATAATATTGCATTTTTTGTCAGTTCATCGGTGTAAGCATACTCTTCTATTTCTTTTATTTATTCCTTTTCTTAAAAAATGCGCTTATTAGCTTATTCGTTGTATCTGAAAAATTCTTGTTGATTTTTTTTAGTTTCTTTAAGTAGTGTGCTTCTTGTAATTTTTCTGTTTCAACTTTTCTGAATTAGATTTTCCCCTTAAAGCTCCAAACCTCCTCCAATTGAACATTAAATATATGATTAAATGTGAAGTAACTTACGACCAATCCATATGCAAGGGTATTGAGTGTTTAATAACAAAAATTTACAACAAAAAATTGAAGTGTTTTGAATATGTAATTTATTTTAAGCAAAAGTAGTACATTTAATGTAAACATATCAAACATATTTTGAAGTTTAACATGACCGGCATTTTTCTTCAATGTGCCAAATATGAACGAAGAGACGCTATCAGCATAGTTTTTTTGTTAAACAAATATTTAGGACCAAACTAATAAGTGTTTATATTTGTTATCAACTTGTATCTTCAAATACATATTTCTTTTATGTTCCAATTTAGCTCCTTCAATATTACAATACAGAGCTGTGTTAGATAGAAGTTTTTACATTTTATAAATATTTTAGTTGTTTTTCTTTTAATTTTATAGATTGATTATCTTTCTGACTGAACCATCTATATTTTATATGCCAGCGACTAGTGATGGTACAACTAAATCTGGTTTTGTTAAAAGCGTCAGATCAACGAAACTTAAAAAATGTTGAAAAACAGCAGCTTATTTCAGTTTAAATTAAATGATTGCGAATGAACGAAATTATAAAAAAATAGCAAACCTAAATACATACTCGTAAAATTGTTGGCAGCTGATTGAAACGGGTTAAAAAGTCCGTAGCTTATTCGGCATATCAAATCAATGTAATTAAAAAAATCACGCTAATTTAGTAATTGAATTAAAATATCAGCCAACTTGTACAACGAAAAAGCAAGTTAAAATGCCGATCAATTAAATGTTTTTTAGAAAAACCAATTAGACCACGAGGGCATATTATACGACGATTGAAAATTTGAGCTTTTGTTGGCAGCTGCGCCCGCGGAGCTGCTCCCAATGCCACCGCTATGTTCACCACCGCTTGCGCCGCTGACAGCGCTCGAGTTGGCGCTGTTGGCCACATTAGTCAGAAACTGTGCGAACTCCTGTTGTAACTGAAGCTGTTGCTGCAGCAGCTCAAAATGGTTCTGTGGCTTGTTATATATGAACTTCGTCGATGTCTTCAAAATATTTGTCGAAGTAGATGAGGCAGAGGATGAAGATGCAAATACATCGTGGGCGTCCGTGCTAGCGTTTGTAGAACTGATGGAAGTCACTGTTGAATTTTTTGTTGTTGTTGATGTGGTTGTTTCGTTGCTGCTACAGTTTGTTGAAGGTGGTTTAATCTGACGACTGTTTGTGGGTGTAGTTGTGTTTGATGCTGGACATTTACTTGGTGGTGGTGGTGGTGGCAATAATTGTTGCTTATTGCTGAAGCTACTACTGTTTTTACTGCTGTTTGATGCCATTGGTTTTTGTCTTCGTTGTGGTTGTTGTTGCTCACTCTTTGTATTGTTGTGTCTGCTGTTGGTATTACCATTGAAATTGTGGTTGTGGTTGTGAATCAAAAGTTGCGGATTGACATACGAGTATTTAGTAAAATTGTGTAGGGTATTGGCGTTGCCACCGGTTGAGGCGCTCTGATGCTTCAACACAAAACTGTTGGCCGCTAGCGCCGCAGCCGCTGCATTGGCATTCACAACAGCAGCCAACTTCGTTAATAATTACGTTTGCTTCGTTTTATTTGTCTTGAAACTGACTTGTAGTACCCGATTGCCAAGGGTGTAGCCATTAAGCGATTGTATAGCCACTACGGCTTCCTCGTAGTTTGTCATGGTTACAAAACCAAAGCCCTTGCACTTGTTGCTCTGCAAGTCGCGTATGACCTGTGTACAAAGAAAATTACTTCGTTTAATATTACAAACCCCAAAAAACCAATAGCACATGGCCATCGGGCGTGGCAATGTTTTCTGAACTTGCTAAATAAATATATTTTAGGAAGACATCAGATATAATGGGTCCATATGTGATCAGCATGATCCATTTCGATTCAAAATCTTCTTTGCCAATAAAATGTTTGCACTACTATTTTTTATATAAAGCCTGAATTAAGTGGAATTCCAAAAATAGCGAGTTCCAATGAAGCTGCAGTCAGATTGAGTCCATTAAAATTGCACAACAAACATAATTTTGAAACAATAAAAACTCATTCGACACTGATACGATTCACTTTTCGGTCGACATTTTATTAATAAGAATTCCGTGTACTCTGCATTTCCTGGGCACTAACATTGTTAAATTTGCACGGATTACGTTTATACGGAATTTCAAAAACACCGCTACAATAACACTGAATCCACGAAATATTTATAAATTGCACAAAGTAGACCGTATATATTTGCGACACGTGACCAAAACATTGGGACTTATCTCTCATACATTTTAAAATTGTAACATAAATTCTTACCTTGACGGATTGCACGGCACCGAAGGGTCCAAACAGCTGCCACAAGACGTTCTCCTCTGTTTCTGGCGCCAGGTTATACACAAAAATGCACCATCCAGAACTGGCAATGGTGTTGCCTTGTATCATGCCGTTCGTGATCAAATCACTTGTGAGAGGCGAGTAGCGAGAAATGACGGATCTGCAGAATATCGCACGTAAATATGCATTATAAATAAGTTTTATAACAGACCTAAAAGGCACACCCATTATAAACATTAATATTGCTAGTCACACTTAGCATAATAAAAAGCTTTTAAATTTATAATTCAAATGGTCAACAATAGCTGTTTTGGTGTTATCAGTTTGATTATCAGTTATCAACAAATCATTTGGAACCCAATAGTCAGGATCTATTAGCAAATAATAAAAAATCTTTATTACTTTAATGAAAAGACTTACCCATAACGTCCTGCTGCACTGGGATGTATGGCTGCTGCTGCTGCTGCCGCTGCGGCTCCAGCTGCTGCATTTGCCGGAAATGCACGCCCACCACGAGTATTCTGCGGAGTTATGTATGCGGCCAGGGGCTGCATGCTGTTTTTGTTGCTGCTCGGATTGTTTGCAAACTTGACGGTTATCGGTTCGGTTGAGTTTTTAGGTGTAGTACCGTTGAGCTCCTTGATGGCTCGATCAGCTTCAAAACGCTGATCGAAACGTATAAAGCCGACGCCTTTAGAAAGACCTAGGATGCAAGTAAAAGCAAATTGTATGTAAAATGTAGGACATAAAGAAATATTATTCACATTTTCAGTGTAACAAATATTTTCATAATACAAATTGTTAAAGCATTAAAATTGTCAATTTATAACTGTTAATTGTGTTTGAAAATGTTATAAAAGTAGCATACATACTGGCATCGGGAAAGTCATCAGACACAGCTTCTATTGGGTTTGAGTTAAAACAAAATAAAAACAAAAACAAAACGTATTAATGTAAAAAATTATAAAACACAACATATAAGACATTAAATTATTTAGAAAAAATTGCTAAATTAACATCATGATCAAATCTAAATAGTTAAAGCGTTTTTATACAATACCCAATTTCAAATTTTTTCGAAATTGCAGTTCAATTTTTGATTAAAATTGGCTTTTCGTTGGGAAAAAGAGTAATTTTAAATTAGAAGCTGATAAGTGTAAATAAACATTTGTATGCTTTTTATTTGTTAAATTTTAAGCATGTGCGGGATGTTGAAGGAAAAATTTGAATTTTGTCGTTTTTCAAAGTACCTACAATTGTAAGTATTTGTTTTGTCTAATAGCAGACACTAAATAATCACGTAAATTAGGTTAATCAAATCATTTAAATTGGAAAAAAGACAGCAAATAATCAACTACATAAAGCAAGCCTAGAAGTTAGTGTACCGCGAACATCTAATACACAAAAAATAATATACACAATGCTGATTGACAAGTGAAGAGAAACATTTTGAGATTGCGAAATTAAAAAGCAATTACAACTTTGCTTGGCAAATAAAACTAATGCAAACCTACCCGGCGCGTGTTCATCTTAAATAGTGTTTTGGATCGATTACATGAAAAAGTAAAACCGTATGAAAATTTACATTAATAAAACTGACTATAAATAAATAAAAATAAATGCTTGTAATAAAATTCCTTCATTAAAGGAGCGCCAGCCAAATACAAAATAAAGTCGTGCTCTAATACTGATCAAAAATGTTAACCGATGTAAGGGCGCATTTGAGTTAAAAATGTATTTATTTACTTATGTAAAAAGTGGCATGCTTTTATATTATGTAAAGCGATATTTGTTTCAATTAGGAATTGTCTAGACTCTAGAACACACATATTGAGAAGTCTGGCAGTTGCCGTTTCAATTTTTTTTTTTATATTATTTTTTTTTTAATAGTTTATCAGTTCGACAGTCAAATTTAATAAAAAAAAATTTGATAGATAACAATAAGCTGACCCTAATGTAGTGCTCAAGAATTGTTGCACTGTAGATAATATACAGAAGTTTTAATTTTTGGGAAATATACAAATTGTATTTGCCAAACATACAGAAATAAAAATGCTGACAACATTTTCCACAACTAGATAAGTGGAGCCTCTATTCGAATGCATTTCAAGAGAAGAACATAGAATGTAGGTTCTTTGCTAGCCCAACTTTAACCAAAGCTATATACTATATAAAAACAAAGATAGTTTTTATTACTCACCTGTGATGTTATCACAGAGTATGCGCGAAGTTATAATTTTTCCAAAAGGACTAAATAACGATTCCAGATCAGACTGTGTCATATTCTTTGGAAGACCCGAAACATATAAATTGGCGCCCTTAATGCTCTCCGAGCTGGGGCGAGCAATAGATACCTAATGAATGAAATTACTAAATCAGTGAGTTCTCCTTTAAAGCTTACATACTCACTTTGATGGTTTTGTTCTGCAAACGCAGGCCATTCAGTGAATTGATGGCTTTCTCCGCATCCTCCTGCTTTACATAGTTTACGAAGCCATATCCCAAACTTTGGCCTATGAAAGGAACAAAATAGTTTACTTACAGCAAGCTTGACATGCGATATGTCGATGCTTTTTTTAAGCAAGTGCTGCATCAACTCACAATGTTATATTTTGGAATTTTTTATATATATAGCATTGGTAGTTTACCAATATTATGGTTTAAGACTTTAGAATCAGTATACATTCGCATACAAAAAGAACAGCAGTTTCAGCAATTAATTTGTATTATATTAATTGGAAGTTAGAAAACTAAATCATAAATCAAGCACCTGCTAATCATAATAGCTCTAATATTTGTTGTTGATGCGGTTGTTTTTCACGTACCTGTGACTTTGTCGCGAATCAACTTGCAACTCTCCACTTCGCCGAAGCTAACAAACAACGAGCGTATCTCATCTTGCGACATCGTCTGTGGCAAGTAGTTTACGATCAGGTTTGTCTTAGGATCGGGCTCATTATTATTATTGTTTGTGGTGGCGTTGTTGTTGTTGTTATTATTATTATTGTTGTTGACTGCAGCATTTGAGGCGGCAACAGTAGTGGATCCTGTGCTGGCTGAAGCACCCGAAACAGAGACTCCGCCACCATTTTGCTGAGCCTGGTTGGTGGAGCTGTTACTGACTGAGCCACCGCCACCACCGGCAGCCGCAGAACCGGATTGTTGCGGCTGCTGAACCTGAGCTTGCCCCTCGACCATATTGAAGTTATAGCTATTTTTGTTGAGAGAGAGCATTGAAGGAGTGGTAGAAGTGGATTTAAGTTTTTGATCAGTTAGGGTTGAACATACATATATTTAAGATGAAGTATGCTTTCTAGGTGGGTCTAATGCGCAACTAAAAAATAACTGAAAAGTGTGCAAGAAGTGTGGATGAACTTAATTAAAAATGGAGAATTTACAGCTTTGTGTTAACTTGGTTAATCGAAAAGACCGCTTAACACAGTTTTTCTTTGATGTCGAAAAAAGATAATACTGCTGGTTCACGATTTAAAATCTGAAATGGAAATTAGAAAAAAGATGATTACTTAACTCATATTTAGGTATAACAAATACTCACCTCTACACACTATGCACACGATGAGCAATCGACGTAAATGTGTAATAAAAAAGCATTCGAATCGGGAGAACCCTAAGTAAACCTTTTAATGCTGCGTAATTCTAGGCGCGCGCGTAGTACATTAAGAAGAACTACGATATATGTATGTCCAAAGTTAACTGCAACGAAATAAATGCAATAAAAATCAATTATTTTAATTCAATTTAAATACATGTAAGAAATTTGGTTCAATAGTTTGTTTGTGTGTGTATAGTTGTGTTTATTCTGTTTTCATTTTGTGGCTGCTTTTGTGTCTAAAGAGGGGTATGAAAAACAACAAAAACATCAAAGCACAATGGTTATAAAACCATACAAATGTTCAACAGTTAAGGGAACTGTTGTGGCACAATTCTATTGGCAGGAAGATTGCCAACCAGATAGACAAGTTGCCTGTACTATCGATTTTATTTACATGTCACTTCGAATACAAAACATTTCTTAACTGCCTAATATTTTAATATTTTCGAGCGAAGAAACGTGCAAATCTAAATGTGTCAAAGATTGAAGTTTTGCTTACACATTTTTATGAAACATATAATATGTACATAAATCAAATCTAGACAAACATCTTCAGAATAATATTATATTCTTAAGAATCGTATTATTTGAATGCCGCTATTAAAGTGGAAAATATCATTAAAAACAGAGAGGTACCAAATCGTTTCTGGCTGAACGCCTGCGATGCGTTAATATTAAACATTGTATGTTAGTTCTAGATGTTCTTACGAAAATAAACTGGCCAATATATTTTTAGGCAATGTCAATTATTTGCATACCTTAGATGACATGTTTGTCAATTTGAAAAGAAATAACTGGAACGATCTTCCAGAACCCATTAAAGAAGTTGTGGAGAAATAATACATTATTATTATCAGAATATTTATAATACATCATAACGATACATTTATATATTTATTTATTGTGTGTCAGACAATCTTAAGAAACACCAAGTGATTCTATGTTTACTCCTGACAATTTATTTACGTATAGTAAGTATGAGCTGAAAAAGCAAATTGTGTGATAAATTCGTATTTTTATTAACAAACAATATACACGATAGGAGGGGTGGATGACTGGGCAGAAATCCATATACAAAGCTGCCGGCGAAAGTCTCAGGAATATATGTACATGCACTTGTAAAAGGTAAGCAAATATTTTTGAATATATTTTTAAAACAAAATGATACTGTGGTGGCCTCCGCTGCTCGACGGTTTTTGAGGTTAAGTGGCCGCAAAAATGAAAAACGAACGGACCGAAAATGACTTAAGTCATTTAAAGAGCAGAGCAAATTACATAAATTCAGTGGTATGAGACGTTTCTACTCTGCTTTAAAAACAAAATAGTTAGTTAAAATTAGCATACTCGATAGATCGTTTTAAACGCGATTATGAAACACTTTAGCTTTGTTATATATGTATGTGTTTTGTTTAATACCCAACAAAAATAGACACGAAAACCAAAACAAAACAGTTTTATATAGTTGCAAAAACTTAACGCGAAAAACGTAGAAAAATTATAGGCTCGAATACTAAATTATTTATATTTTATACGTAGAGTTTAACAATAAAAAAGCACAAAATCGAAACTGAACAAACGCGAAACAATTTTGTAATAATAATTATAATAATAAGGAAATAATAAAATTGAACGAAAAGTGGAAAAAGAACACGTTCCTGCAACTGAACAGAACAGAAATAAACTGATTTGGTGAGAGGCGTTGAAATTATTTTTATGCCTTTGGGAGAACACCAGCATTGATGAGCGCGTAGGAGAGCGAGGCGACGCCACTGAGCACTCTTTTCTTGCCAAGCATTTAACAACACTCGCACTGCACAAAGTTCGTATTCTGGGAGAAGTAAACGGCATATGCAGCTCAGGGTACCATTGCAAGATTGCAATTATAGTAATTAGATTTTTAGATTTTTTTTAATTCAGACTAAATTCTACAAATTTGTGTGAAGTGTATTTTGCAACTAAAGCTAATAATATGAAAATTGTGCATGACTGCAAGACATCTGCAATAACACAACTGGCACAAATATCAATACAATCAATACATACATTCACACATACAATACATGCCTCGTTGAAAAACAACTGTCCACACTATACAATTTATTGATTGCAACATTGCTTCAGTTTAGCTATGCAAAAAGTTGTTTCACATTTTTATGTACATACATACGTTCATATGTATGCAATTGTAGACGTCTAACTTCACCGAATTAATTTTCTTACTACTTATTACGATCGAGGACTGCCATAGGCTATAAATCATTTGGTGAACCTTTGTAAATTATTTATTGTCTTATATATAAATATATGTATATTATATATATAGTATATACAGACAGCAAGAATTATGGACAGAAGAAGGGCCCAAAACGCAGGAACAAAACAAAAAAGTGACACACCTTGTATCAGTGGAAAGCAGCCAAAGACAAGAGCGCTATAGTAGAGAAATAGTAGGCCCAAAAGGCTCCATACATTGTTTTGGGGTGCGGCAAAAATAAAATGCAAAACAATGTGCAGAGAGCAGAGCGCAATAGACTAAATAAGAACTGCAGCCAACCTGCATTCCGAACAACAGCTGTTTCCTGAGAACGCCTTAAGATATGCAATAGACGGGAGTAAGAGAGTAAGCTGTAGAGCGAGTTTAAACTGGAAGTACCTCGTATGCAGGTCTGCGGCAGCGACGACGGCGACTGATTACGTTTTTTAGGTTAAACGGTGGCTGCAGCAAATAACTGCGGCCGGCGCTGCACACATGCATTGGCTGTGTGCAGGCGGCGTTTGCTAACAGTTATTATATACATACGCACATATACATACATATATATATGCATATGTATGTATGTATGTCGGATTACCAGAGTGTAGAGAAATATACAGTGGGTTGGGGTGGGGCCTTTGCGCCAAGTTTATAACAAACTTAGCCAATTTTTTACTATCACAGCGCTACGGGCACATCTGTTTGACTGTATGCCTGAAAAATCGACATAGGTGTGGGAGTTTAGTGAATGCATGTAAGTATATAAAAGATATAAAAGCACAGTAAACAGAACAGTTTTTTTGCACTCTTACTTTGATTTTGGTGAGCAGCAGACGCCGCAAACTATGCTGCACCAGTTTGATGTTTTATTTCAATTTTTTGTGATTAACTATTACTTTGCAAACAAGCAGAAAATAACCGTTTGAATTAAACCTTCACATGAACACGCACCAATATAGTTTTAAATTTAACCCGATATATGTACACTCAGGTGCATATTTAGTATGAGTATATGCATATATATACATATATATACATGTGTATGCTAGATGTATTATACCAAGAACAATTTATAAACGACGACGATACGACGAAATTCAAAAAACACAACTTGCTGCCGGAGAGTGCAAGAACTAAATGATTAAAGCACACAATTGCCGTTAGGATAAATGCAGGCAGGACATGGGACGACGATGACGGCCGCAGCGCAGCCCGCAGCAACGCAGTTGTGCAGCCTTTGGAAGAGAAGCGCACAGCTCAGCTCGAAAACACGGATATGGCAGCAGAACTGCGTAGTTTTTGGTTCTCAAAGTAATTTAAATTCTTCTGCTATATTAAATAAAAGAAAGATATGTATAAGACTTATATAACGACCCAGTTATATCAAGACAATAATATTAAGGTAGCTGCAGATTTGCAGTGTTGTAGCGCTATAAAATTCTCCATTTTCTGAATATTCAAATGGAAAACAAACCTCAACACAGTACAACAGCAAACAGTTACGCAGATATAGGCAGCAGTGGCAAAAACTGAGCGCAACGATTTTAACATACTGGTGCAGCGCTCTCAAACTCTTTGCTGTCTGTCTCTTTGCAATGCTCCAACACTTAGCCGAATACCCTACATTTCACAAAAAGCATAAACAAGGAAATGCATCGACAACACCACCGACGAACTTACGACAGAGTCTCACAATGGGAGAATGCGCACAGAGAGTGCATGGGAATGCCGGCCGCGAACCAGCCAGTCAAAATGGCACCCAAACAAATAGTTAGGCAGCGCAACTGCAAAGTCGTCGTAACAAATGCACATACACGTATACAGTCAAAATGCGTGAAGCAGCATTATGGCAGCTGGCTGAGGGTGTAAGAAGGAAAGCAAATGAACCGAGCTGAGTGCCTGCAAGCTCAACTTGACATCATTTGTGTCAAAAGACCATTGAACTCTATGCTGACGTTGTAACCCTCCTTTGCAACTCTCGCTAAATTGAATTATAAGTTAAAAGATATTCCTGATATTGCAACAGATAAGTATACATACATACATATGTTAATTCTCATTCTAAAGCTAAAGCATTTAACAATTGTGAAAAATAGATTAAAATATTCATACAAGGATTGAAATAAAGCGTTTGTGAATTTACTAAACTTTACATGCAAACAATAAAAAAAAGAAGCAAACTTTAACAGTTAGGAGTTATATAAAGGCCGATCAACAGCTGTGACTTAAGGTTTCTAAAACTGTAGTCCCTGAGATCTAAACGTTCATACAGGCGGACAGATTGACAGGCAGGGCTAGATATATATATTTTGTGGAATCTGACAGGCTTACTTCTGTCTGTTACATTTTTCAATTTTCACAAACCTAACCTCTTGTACCTTTCAGTTCCTAAATATTTTTAAGTAACAAAATCAACCAAATGTGTATTGGACAAGGATCATATTATGTGGTAGATTCTTTCCACCTTATAGGTTTAAAACGAGATAACGATGACCACCCGATACTAATGCGAAAGGAAACATTTTCTACACTTACCTTAGACATTTTCCTCCTTGACAGAAAAAGGGGTCACAATTACGCTAACGCTACTTAGCATATCACGATTATCTTTGGAGTTTCCCTTGCATTCCTCTATGAAATCAAAATCCGTTGGCTTCAATTCGTTTTGATAACCCCAGCTTTTAATTATATTTTCAGAGATCCTCATGACAGTCGGGAGAGTAATGTCACATAAGTTTTTCGTGGGTATTTGAGATGTGGCTGCTGAAACGAAAAGTCATACCACGGTGCGTTGTGCGTATTGTTAATGTTGTTATTGTGAGTGTTGTGAAAATTGGGTTCAAAGTGGGTGCAGGATTAGGGTACACGATGCTCCTTCAGCCTATACTATACATATTACGGACATGGTGATTAAATTTTTATTATTGTGCAGCTTCACCTTGCTGGAAGGCTGTAGTACAAAGTTAAATATCAAGTTAGGTGATTGAAATTAGCAAAAAGTCGCACCTAATAAGTATATGTATGTACATACATATGTATGTATAATAATATATATATAATATATGGCGAAGGTTTAGGATAAAGTGGAACTCATGGTAATATCCTTTGGAGTTCTACTTTTAGATAAAAAGTGAATATTTCATTATTTATACATACATACGTATTTGCTGCAACGCTTCTACTAATACTTCAAAATGCAAAGCGCGACAGGCAAAGAATTCAACATGGCCGTCCGCGTGACATTGGCGTCGATATTGCAGCGCACCATTGGCAATTCCTAAAACTAACTAAATTCAAATATTGTTGCATTTACTTGCTTTCATTAGGATGGTCACTGAAGATAAGCACGCACAAATTTCTCCAAAAAGATCTCAGCAGAATTTACAGATCGACACAAAACCCGAACAAATTTCAAAAGAACGATGGTAAAACAGTTGACGAAAGACAAAGCTTTCTGCTGGCTGGCAACATTAAAAAAGGCACCTCTATCTTTTTATTATTTATACTTATGTGGCAACACTTTGCGAAGTGCTGCCGTCCTATTTGTGTTTCAACTATGACGAAGCCAGAGTTGCATTTTCTATAACTGCATTAAAAAGTACGCTTGTTTTAAATAGTACAATTTTTATTAGTAATGATTTTGATTTATCAACTACTGTTTAGGTAATTGCATATTAAATTGGTTGTTTGGTTTGTTGCTTTACCTTTAATAAGTGTACTTGGTTTTTCTGCTTCGGTTTTTCATTTTCGTGAATTATATTTGTACAAAATATATATTTATACATATATATATATACATACACATATATGCACATATATCCATATATACATATATATTTAAATATGGATTCTCGTTATTTTAACTATGTTTATGAACAATTTTTTTTTGACTTCACCATGTTAATAGCTTAAGACTTAATTTCGTCGGTCTTGCTGTTTGTTTTTTTATTTTATTATTTGGTACTACAATAACGCTTAACAAAATATAATTAATAACTATGTTTTCTTAATTTACTAGGCTCATTTCGTTTGTTGTTTTCATTTTGTCGGTTCATGTTTATTGCATGATTGCTGCTTGTTGTCACTTCAAAAAATTTTGCTATACTTTAATGTCGTAGTTGTATATATATAAAAATATATATATTTATATATATGTATCTATGTACGTATGTGTTAATATGTATGTATGTGTACGCTTGTATTTTAATTCGTGTTTTATTTACAGCGTTTAAATGTTAACAATATATATTATGCATTACATAATTTATAATAATTACACTTAGTTTTGTTCATTTAGCACAAATTGCACTTAATTGCGGGCTACTTTTTGCTGTCATTTCTGTTAAAACAGTTCATAACTGAACGTTATGTTATAGTTAACGTTTTGTTTCCCCAGAACCACTATTTTTGTTTTGAATATGCCGTTGACTTCGGCTGATTTATTTTGGTTTAGCTCAATAAATGTTTCTTGAAAATGAACCCAAAGTAAATATTTACTGTTAAGCCATACACTGTTTTAAGTCGAAAGTTACCTATTTTATTATTACTTTCTTTATTTCCGGACAATCTGAATTGAAAATGAATAGCCTTTTCTCGCACCAAACGAATTTAATTGTTAAAGCAGTTAAACTTATTTTATTGCATTGTCGTTTTTATACTAGACTTCGATTTTTTTTTTACTTTATTTGCGGTTTTTTTGTTTGGCCTATTAAAAATATACACATTTTAAATATATACAATATATAAATTTGTTATTTAATACTTTCGCAAATTAGTTGTTGATTTTCATTGAATGTTTTGGAGAGTTCTGCGAAATAAACTCGCTCTTCTTACAAGTATTGAAAATGTATTTAAAAACTATTAATGCACTATTAGTGTTGTTGCTGTTGTATCTGTCTTATTTAGATACTTATTCGATTTTCAAATCTGTATAGTCCCCAGAGAAAATTAGAAAATAAAAACAACGCAAGAAAAATTGTATATACGATATATTTTTAATATATTATTCACTGAAAAATTTTGTTCTAGAAACGTTGTGATTGCTTTTTAAAAAATTACTTTAAAATCCATACAAACATAATTAATAATGAATTACAGGTAGTAAATAACTATTTTTAATAAGAGCTAAATAAAACCAACTTATGTAATTTGTTTTGATAAATAACATAATAAAACATACAAACAGTGAAATATGCGCTACAATTAATTTAGTAAAAATTGCGGAACGGTAACGTAACTGAAAACTTCTTTTGCCTATTTACATGCAACAATTTAAAGTTCAGCTGGTTGGATTTTCTTTTCATTTTGCTTATGTATCTAGTTATAAAATATATGTAGCCAATTATCACTATATGTTTAGTTGGGGTGATGCAGCGCAGCGAGAATATTTGAAAAGATTGTCGCTGTGTTTTCGCATAAAAAATTAACTAACTTAAAATTAAAAAAAAACCAAAAAACAAAATTCAACTAAATCTTTAGGTCAATGCAGCCGAAGGTTCTAGACTACTTTCGTTCTGCGATTGAGGTTGAGTTGGGGCGCATAGCTTAAATGTTTACAATTCTTTCACATTATATGAAATACTTTACTTAATTACAATCTAGACATAAATATAAAGCTTAAAGAGCTTAGTGTTAAAACCAAGATAACTTGAGCATAAGGAAAATAAGTAAATTGTGTACCTATAAAAAAATTATAAATTAGCAACAAATTGTGGCACTATAAACTAATATGTGTATGTGTGTTTGTTTCCGTTTTACAAAAACTGATTAAAAGTTGTAAAACAAAAGTAATATATATGTAGTAGTTAATTTGGCCTGACTTTTTACAAACGTTTGGTTGTGGTGGCTTGTAGAATACATCGGAGCACAGAATGGAGCAGCGCTACTGCCCCTGAAGCTGCTGTGAATGTGGATGAAGCACGGCGGCCCGGAGCGTCTTAAGACCCGCCTGCACATAGCGAAACACCTCGTGCATGGTGCTATGCAATGTTAGTGGTCCATTCTCGTGATCTAATTCGCGAAAAAAATCTTGAAAGGGAATATGCCACTCTATTAGTATCAGTCTTTAGTTAAGTTATATAGATTCACCGCTTACCTGTGTGATTGCCCGTACGAACCAATCGATCGGCTAAGTCCCATAAATCGTGAGCGCTATTCACATAAGTGAAGTACTCATTTTGTTTGCACAACTGATTGTGTATATCTTGAGGCACTATTTTACCGGGTGGTGTATTTGAACCTGACCCCTACGAAAAGAAGAAGCGTTACTTTTATATATTGAATTTTTTTTTAATTTTGTGAAAAGTGAAAAATGTAAAAGGTAGAAAGAGGTGTGGCAGACCCCACAAAGTATATATATATATATATACTTATACTTATACTTTTTATACTTACTTGCGAGCCTACTGAGTTCGAGGGCGATATAGAAGATGGCGTATTGCCATTTACCATATCACCCCTGCCACTGCGAAAGAACTCATTGCAGCTGGCGATAACAGCGCGACAATTTGAGCGTCGCAGTTTGTAAAGCTTTAGAGATATCAAAGATTGGCAGCGCAAACTTAAATATGGGAAGAAAAAATTGAATTGGTTAGATAGATCCGTTGTAGTAACGGCTTTTCTTCAAGGCTCACCTTAGAATGGCAACCTTGTTGTGCGTTTCGTGCTGCACATTTGTTGACTGCTGATACGTCCTAAATTTGGAGGAAATAAACCTGAAATATAAAGAAAAGTTAAGATTATGATTCCATCTATTGAAATGAACCACTCGCTGCATTTTTTAATGTTATCAATTTACAGAAACACAAGAGTAGCTCTCAGTGGAGCAACCCTGACAGTTAAATATCCTGGACCCAAACAAACTTCCGGCTCTAGTAGAAATAAATGGGCCCGTAGTAGAAATAAATCAAGAAAGGAATGCTAAAGTCGAGCGGGCTCAACTCTTAAATAACCTGTACCGCCCCACAAATAAAAACATAAATAAAAAAATTAAAAAATTAGTTTATTTAATTAACTATAAAATATTTAACACATGCATACAGACATAAGTGTTTATGCAAAATTTCAACAGCATAGATTTACATCAGAATCGTGTCTATGCGTGCTTGTATGCAGTAATAACAACCCCTGCCGACAGAGCTTGGGCGGAGATTATGTTTATGGCTATAACTTTCTTCTAAACTTGGCACACAGACACATAATTACTATACGGGAATTATAGGAAAAACACGAATTGCGGGGGGAGTGGGGGCGTGCATCAGAAAAAAAACATAAACTCGTCCTTTCACGGACTTAGGAGAATCTGGATACCGAGTTTGGTTATTATTACATACATTCGCACAAAACTAGTATAGCCTTTTACCCTTTGGGTACAGGCTATAAAAAGTAGAAAATCGAACTTCATGCTGCAGTTTGTGGGCGTAGTACTGGAGTAAAATTGAATCGCAAATAGCTTTTCTTGGAATTGACCAAAGAGGATGAAATTTGAAAAGAAATTTGATAATTATATATAGATTGCATGTGCAGTTTGGTTTATGTAGCTTTTGAAATGTGGACAGTTTTGTCAAAACCCTGTAGCGGGCAGACAGGGTGGAAAATCAAAAAATAAAATAAACTCATGTTGCCTAGGAGTTAGGAGAGTCTACACACCAATTTTAATTAATATGCGCTCAGCCATTTCCAAAATCTAGGCGTTCATCCAGGCAAATAGTCGGACGGACATTTCTAGATCGATTTCTCTTGTAAGCTAATTAATAATATATATAAGTTTATGTAATTACTTTTTAACAAAATAATTTTAAACGCTCACAAACAGTTTGATGGATTGTCTCCGTTGTGAAATTATTAATGGTTGCAGCAGTGTTAAAATCCACGTTTTAGTTATAATAAGCGCACACTTTACTCACTTAATAAGCATCAAGGTGTCCTTGTACATGGTCCAAACAACCGACTCCGTGCTGCAACGTTCCATCACTGCACCAGCGAGTAGAAAGTAGACGACAGCTTCCAGATAGAGAGTGACTTGGTTAAAAGAGTCACGCTCTGAATCAGCGGCATGTTTGCGTTTAATAGCCTCTTGCAGGAAGTGATTGTTTCTGAATTCCAAAAAATTATGTGAACAAAAACAAATGATGTCTAGGTGTAATTGTTATTGAAATAGTTAGGAACTTACTTGATGTCGTCGTTTAGGGGCTCATCCTCACGATCAAAGTATGATCGGTAGATGACGCGCGTCAATACCGGCGCAACTGAACATTGCGTCACCGGCAATTGCTGTGGCGGCGTTGTTTGCACCGCCTCGCTGCACGTAGCTGGTGGGGGAGGCAAAGGGGAGAGCGCTAATAGCTTGGGTACCGCATTTGGAATTTTGTCTAGGGATAATCGCTCGTGGTTGGTCGGTAGTAGTGGCAGCTCCTTGGGTGCTGCGGGCACAATTAGATCGCTCATTTTCTCTTTTTTCCGCTTTTTTTCCTTGTAAGGACTAGAGCTAGAACTAGAGCTGCGTTTGCGTCGACGCACCGGTTTACTGTCTCCACTCGCAGAGTTGGGCGAGTCGTTAGTGGCCGCCAGCTGTTCTTGCTTCAACATGAACTCCTGTTTAACACTGGGTTTGTACTTTGTTTCGTAGCCGGCATCCAGCTCCGGCTCGTACTTGACGCTATGCTCGGGTTTGACATTACCCAATGTCTTTTGGCAGGCGGGCGAGCGTTTTGCAGTAGTGGTCACAGGCGCATAGCCGTTAGGCGTTAAATGTGCAGGATAAGTGGTGAATTCCTTTGGTGTGCATGCACCATCGGCAGAACGACTGCTCAGATGGCCGTTTTGTAACTCGTGAATGTTGTCTCCAGAGCGTGAGCGTTCCCTCTCCCGTTCCCGTTCGCTTTGCGCCTTCAGTCTCATGTGTGCAGCTTGTGTGGAAGCCTGCAGATCGGCGTTGAGTATAGTCTCGTGATCGTAAGCAGGCGTGCTGATACGTGTGCCACCAGCGGATTTCTCGTGCAGGCGGTAGCTGTTTTGATTCCACTCAGCGGGCACACGCGCCAGCTTGCTGAGGTCGATCTTACAAATGAGGGAGGTCAGATGCGGCGTGGTGGTGCGTGCTGGAGATGCCGTGCTTAGCAGGGAAGCTGCGCTCACCTGCTGCAACAACTGCTGCGTCGTAGGCGTTGGCGTGCGCGTCGGAGGCGTGCGCGTGGGTGTTTTAAGCCGCTGGCCACCGGGCGTGAGACGCGGAGAGTGCACAGTGCTTTGGTTGCTTGTTTTTGGTATCACCTGCGTGAGCGATGTACCCAACGATGATGCGTTCATTGATGTTGAAGACGGCTCTTTGACTTGCAATTCCTCGGACTGATCCATTATGACCACTTGGCCCTGTTTCTTGGCGCCACCTTCCTTCGGGTTGAATATACGGGTAAGCGTGTTGATTTTGTTTTTATCCGTCTTCCTTCTCTTCTCGACATCACTCTTACGCTTCTTTTCGATGCTCGAGCGATGGTCGTCTTCGCTACTGCTCGAGGCGCTGGACGATTCAGATGTAGATAAACGACTGTGAGATGATGATGCCAGTGCAGGGGCTGCGGTCTTAAACGGAGATTGATGTTGAGTGTTTGCTCTCCCACATGTTAACTCTGCTGCAGTTGCTTGTGGCAACGCTTCATTGCCATCGTTCTCATCTTCGTCATCATCTTCAGCTTCCTCATCGCTGGAGCTACTGCTACTAGAGCTGGATACACTGTCTGGGAACCGTTTTGGCTGCGCAGCTCGCATGTTTATGTTAACAACGCGTCTATTTACTGCCTGCTCACTGCGCTTATCTGTCTCAGTTTCGCTACTACTAGAGCTAGATTTGGAATAGCTACTGCTACTGCTGCTTGAGCTGTCCTCATCGTTTGAGGAACTACTGCTGGGCGACTTAGCATAAGACGCTGGTTGCTTAATAGTCGACGTCAGGACAACATTGTTATTGAGTTTTTTAGTGGGTGTGGTGCTCGTTGAGGAGTTGCTTGAGTTTGCGCGCTTTCGCGCTGTAGTTGTCTTCGTCACTAGCTTTTTGGCGGTCAGGGTCGGACCCTTAGCTTGCGAGGAGGTTGACGTGGAGCTCAAGTTTCCGCTCTGAGGTGTGCGATGTGGCGCTCCCGCCGTCGTTGTTGGGGTTACCTGTTGAGGATGTTGTTTTCGAGGTCGTCCTCTGCCTTTCTTGGGTGCAGCAGTTATTGTTGTCGTTGGCAACGTAGATGCCACCACCGTCGTTGTAGCACCGCTCATCTCTAAGGCATCGTCCCGATATACTTTCTGCTTAGCTGCTGTAGGTTCGTCATCATCACTTGAGTCCATTGAATGCACTGTCGCAGCAGACATTTTCTTCTTTCGTGGCTTTTTCTGTCGAGCCTTAGGCGATGCTGGAAGCGGTCCTATAGGTGTTAACGTTACGCTATTGACGGGGCTCCTATGTACGGGTTGTGAGTTCAAGTTTCTGCCCGCAAGCTTAGGTACCGATACTGCTGTAATATCTGCGGGAACGCCTGGAATTTGAAGCGTGCCATCTGGACCAAGCATGGGAAGTACTTGTGCTCCCGCCACATCACAGGCACTGTCCGAGCTGCTAGTTGAATTAGCGTCAGACTGACGGAGTAGGCCATCAGCACGTCGCTGATCTTCGAGCAGTGCAGAAGACTCGCGCTTTATTTGGTTTTTTGGTATGGCCACGCAGTCCTGAGCCGTCATCTGTTGTACCGGTGCAGTCAACGAAACTAACGCCTGTTGCTTCTGCTCCAGCGCTTCCTTTTTTATGTTGAAAGGTGTTATACCGACAGGCGTAACACTTAGACCGGAGCCATAGCGTAAGCCACTCATGGCCTGTGTCCCGTTTCCCGATTCGTTGTTGTCTTCATCGTCTTCTTCATCCTCGTCCTCATCGCCATCATGCAATTTCTCGTTCTTTACAATTGCAGTTGTGACGTCAATAGATTCGGGAATGATTTGGGCACCGCCGGGCAAAATTCCTGGTACCTTCATGCTAACGTGTTGACTGCAGGAACTGCCCGGGGACACACTTTCATTTGCGGGTTGGTTAGCAGGTTTGTTAAAGAAGCGACTCAGTGTCCACTTATTGCACTCTGTCGGTGACGGTGTCTTATTCGAAGATGAAGAGCTGCTCATACCAATGCCCGAACTCCCAGATCCTCCACCTCCACCACCACCACTGGCATTACCACCGCTACCGCCCAAGCCACTGGAGGTTAATAGGCCGCTGATAGTGTTGCCACCACTAGCAATAATCGTCTGGCTGTACTTCTTTTTGCTGGCATTACCAGAAGCTGTTGAGATCACTGCTGTTGTTGTCGGCGCCGCTACCGCGTTTACTTGCTGACGTTGCTGGAGTGGCTGTAGTTGTTGCTGCTGCTGGAGTTGCTTTTGTAGAGGCTCACCTTTGGTGGACTCCTCACTGCCCGATTCACTGCTGTCGGACTCGGAACTGTTGCTAGAGTTGCACACCGAGCGGCTATAACATACTCTACTTTAGCACAGAAAAAATTAAATAGTATGTATATCAATCACTCTTACCCATCTTTTTTGCGGTCATCGTCCGATTCCGACAACTCCAAATCGTTTTCGAGACTACAAGAACATGAAAAAAACGTTATATAAATACGTTTCACTTTATCAGGATATAAAAAATGTACATACATAAAATCGATTTATTTATAGATCATTTTTTCATATATTTCGTCAATACCGTCCACATTTCAAAAGCTACATTAACCAAACTTCACACACATAATTTATACATAACAGTTTTCTTTTGTTTTAAATTTCAGAAAAGTTATTAGCGAAACAAATTCTCTACAGTACAACCCCCCCAAACTGCAGCAACAAGTTCGCTCTTCTTCTTCCTCTTTTTGCTTCTGCTAGAAGCGCATATACCTTAGTGCCGGAAGTTTACCTGGGCACAGGGTATTTCACTATCGGGCTTGCTCGACTGTAGCGTTCTTAAATGGTCTTCAAATGTAAAAAGTATATTAGGTTTGTCTGTTTGTCTGTTCGTATAATCACCTAGTTTTTAGAGGCTATCAGAGTTACAGACACTAAATTCTGCACACAGACACCTTATAAGTGGAGTATAATCTCAGTCAAGGATATTTATTTCACAGTTTAGTTTATTTTCAAATCGAAGATCAAAGAAACTAACTTTTCGCAGTTAAAAATTCGATTTGTAATGATTACTTACCAAGAGTCTTGTTTCTCCAACGTATGATTGCTGCCACTTTTATCAATTTTTAATGGTTTTAGCGCTGTTGCTGTTGCAGGAGTCGGCGATGCCTTTGTTGTTGGTAAAATACTCGCTTGAGGTGGAGTATTCAGGCGCGGTATGGGTGATGTGATGGGTGGTTTAGGTGTCACTAGCGGATGTGGTGGCGGCAGAAGCGAAGCGGAAGCAGAAATACCCGATAATGGAGGTGAGCCCAGGGGCCCTATGGGATCAACCATCGTATCAAAGGCGTACTTAAACTTATTGGGCCCGTTTAGGTTGTAGTTTTCACGCACAGGTGCAAGAGGTGTTGCGGCTATGGACGTTAGCGGCGTGACAGCAAAGTTATTGGTCATCTCTTTAATTATCTTGGAGACGTCTTTCTGCAATTAAAAAACCCAAATGTCACTTCAAGGCCAATGTAGGAAGAAAGGGCATTCAAAACTCACCTCTTTTGGTGCCGGCTGTGGTTTGCCTGTCGTCGGTTGAACAAAACGACCACCATTGTGCAGAGTCGTTGGGCCCTGGAAGGCTTTTTCTGTTAACAACCGTCCATTTGGAATTTGCGTGGAAATCGGAGGACCCAATGGCGTCGTCACTGTGGTTTTCGCCGCCGAAAGGTTGTTTGTGGCGCTGGAAGTGTTATTGTTGCTGCTGCCAGGTCTGGGTGGACCTCTTGGCGGAGCCATGCCACTACTCGATGGTATGTCATTTTGCATGGGCTGGCCGGGATAGCCTCCACGTCCATTGTATGGTGGCTTGTTGTCAGCCTGCTTTAAGAAGGTGGGGGGACGAGGTTGGTAGTGATGTTGTTGCTGCTGCTGCTGGCTGGGTGCTAAAGGTGCACTTGGCACCGTAGAACCAACTTTGGGCATGCGTGAATTTCCCGTATTGTTGATGATACTTCCCGGCGCCTGCCGAGATATGCCAACGGTGTTCTGGTTGATGAAATCGCGCGCAGTAACGAATTCACCCAATGCAGCCGTAATTCCCGTGTCTTCCTCTGAAGGATTGGCTCGTCTCGGCTCGGAAAAAAGACTAGTCTCGCGGTCGTCGATTTGTATCCCCTGCTGGCGCTCATATTTTTCTCGTTCACGTCTGCGTCGGCGCTCGTATTCCTCCATGCTGCAATAGTTAAATTAAATAGTTCGTTTACTTTTTTTTTTTTTTTAAATGAATAATCAAATATTTGTTTTTAAATTCAATGCTAAACGAGAATGTTATTTAGAGCGAATTATCTTCTCAACAACATCTTACATTTCCATTTTATAGAAATAAAGGAGGCAGATATCATGCAGTTGTATAACCTGACACGTATAGCACATGTATTCATAAAAACAGAAGCAAGAACGTTTAAGGTGGGTTAGCCCGATTTGCTGGATTCATTGTTTGGCATTTGGCAGAATATTTATACATACAATCAAGGGCGTAGGCAGCTTTTACCAAAGGAGGAAGCCAAGAAATTAAAATTTTGATTAAATAATGCACGATGCATTTAAAAAATAACTTATGCATATGATCAATGAAAAAACTTCAACAAATCCAACTCCGATCCATTTTAAGGAGAAATACGCAGTTGATTTAGGGCGTAACAGGAAATACCATCGTGCAAGTGTAAACAACAAAAACAACCGCTAACAACAAAAAACAAATAAATAATAACGGCAAGCACAACACATTCAAATTATGGCACACACACACAATCAACAGGCAACTTAAGGTTTGAAAGGCGCTCGCGTAAAGTTTATCATGCATTAGCTGGATCCGTGAATTATAAACTATAGCGCGCGCTCTGCTTGGTATGATTTACGACAAACATGGATCAATGAGTCCTTACATGTAAATGTGTTTTGATACATATGTATGTACATACGAGTGTATGTTTGTAGTTGATGCGTATATACAAACATACATACTCATGTAAGGAAATACACAAGTCATTTGGTACACGCTATGTATATTGTATTTTGCATACATGAATACATATTTTCATAGGTATGTATGAATGTACTCGTAAATGTACATTTAAATGTGTATAGCGTATAAAAATGTTTGCTAACGATCGCACATAAGTATGTACATATGTATATACCTATGTATGTGCACATGCACAAACTAACGCTCGCAAAGTCGAAAACTTACTTATAATTTTGGTTGTACAAATTACTATGTTGCTGCTGTTGTTGCGGTTGTTGTTGTGCCATTTCGCGCGCTTATTAATAAAAAAAAAGATTATAATATCACAACAAAAAAAACATCCACACTGTAGGCAACAACAAAAAATAGTTGGCGGCCACAACGACACGTAGAGAACAACAAAAAGATAGAGTACACTCACACAAAAATGGCGTATTTTGTGTTAATGAAAAACAAATTTATTTATAAATGTTTCGGCGCGTTCTCTCCCACGCTCTCTATCTCTGTTGCTCTCTTTCGGCTTGATTATGCGATCGTTGTATTTTTGCAGCGACTTTGCGGAGCGTTGTGCAGTTGACGCCTTCAATTTCTTGATTAGTTGCTGCACTTGTTTTTGTTGCTGTTGTTAATGCTGCTGCTTTTGTTTTTGTAGGCCACATCATTTTCGCTGCCGTTTCTTATTTTTACCCTTCTTTAATTGAAAGCACTTTCTTCCTTGCGTACTCAGACTGTGACATACATACATATGTACTCGTATATGTATATGCTTGACCCCAGTGTTTTGCTTAAATGGGTTTGGAAATACTGGCCAAGTATTTTTTCGTTGTTACTTCCAGGTAAGTGCGCACCTACATTAATAAATATATGTACATATCTTTCCAACTATGTAAGTACATATGATAATTTTAACTCAGGCTTGAGTTCGGTATTAATCATGAAATATTATGTGTGTATGGTACACTACTTCTTTTGAGTTTTTGTTCATTAATTTCAACAGCCTTCTAATTAAATAACTTTGTTTAAATGCTGCTTTCTTATCTATCATAGAATTCTGCTTTGAAATGTTTTTTGTTTTGTCTATTTTAAAGGGAGGTATCTACATATGTAAAACCAAGTCTTTTATTGCCTGCTTATGTGCGTCTTTTTGAATGTATAAACATATCTGCATATGCGAGTGTATTCGTGTCTCTTAAGGCTTTAGGTGAAAGTTAAAGTTGTAGTACCTGTAAAAAAGCAGAGAAAATGCAACGAATTAGTCCATATGTAAATGTAAGAATCGGACTTGTAAATATAATATCATTCAAAATATGTATTGTATCAAGACATGTTTTATGATTACATAAATAAAACAGTGATCTTTCCTAGGTATCATTATGCAGCTGCATCTGCGTTGGCAGTCCCCCCCACACATCCGAATTATCCAGTGTGTTGGCGACACTAACCTTTTGTAGCCCACCTTCCACCACACCCTTAAATTGAATACCCATTACAAGTGCGACAAAAACTTGCCGCGCCTGGGATAAGTTAAGTAAGTGCAGTGCTCAATTGCATTAAGTTAAATTGTAGGAAAATGTGAGTTTTCAATGAATTTTCGGCTCAAGTTTTATAAATGATTGGAAATATTCATGATGACTGTTACTCACATAAGCTAAACCGGCCAATGCAAAAAGTTCAATAATCACAGAACTTTTTGGTGCATCAATCAAAACAAAAAGCAAATGGTTTTCCTTCCAGGTGCGGAACACCAACATATTTTTCCACTATTTGCTACGCAATGCATATTTTAGTTTAAATATGGCGGTCGGGAAAACTTGAATGTAACATTCTATTATATATTTTTGCTACCAAAAAGTAAAAGTATTTACTGGAGTGGAGTCTACTCATGTCACTGTCAAATACACGGCACGGACTGACATGGAGCACATTAAAATGCTTATGACGAATAACATACATACATGTTTTTCTTTTATTTTTTAGGTGTCGTTTAAATTCATTTTCAGGACACTGTTGCCCACAATGCCTCAAAAAAGCAGACAACAACGCACGCAACACATACGACTAGTACTTATATGAGTTGACCCTTTGGGCCTTTGGTTGCGTGTGTGTTAAGCAAAGGGTACTCGAATGGAGGAGGGATAAAATAGTGTAATATCTCACGAGTTCCTCTTTTTTACTATTGTTTAAATTTATTTATTCTTTTAATGTTTAGTATCATCTCAATTTGCACGGAGGCTGACAACTGTAGACAAAGTTTGCAGGTGCATTTCTGAAGTGTTTTCTATTGAAGCGCTGACACAAGATAGTTTCGACATTGTGTCTGAAAATACGTTAAGACGATTGATCAGGGAGTTTCACCCACTTCCTCTTGACTATTTACATCTTATTCAACGCAAAGCAGCACTAATGGAATGTAGAAAGAATTATGGAAAATCACGAAGAGCGGGGGAGTGGAGGGTGCATAGGAAAAAAAAACTTATTTGAAGCATTTACACCAGCCCCAAGATATGTACATATATGCAGGCACACCTGTATTCCGACTAAGAATTACTTTTCAGTCAGCAGCATAAAATTCATGCGACTAATTTCATATTCATATGTATATTTGGTTGGTCTAACTACCTAGCATAGGAAGAGCTGCAGCTGCAACCAACAGTCGGCAAATACATATAGACACGTCTAATTTATAACATATATACTTAACTCCCTTCTGAAACTATGTGTTCGTACGCAAACTTACATATGTACTACCTACATACATGCTGGCATTCGCGTTGGGCCCGAGCAAAACCCGAGTAGCCTACGAACAGATAGAACAAGCAAGGGCAGGAAAAAATGAGGCGTTTGGAGACAGTCGACCAGTGCATAAACAAAAACACAGGCGTCACAGTCACGGACATATGAGTGTGTGTGTGTGTGTACAGTATGATCTCAAATAACTGGCAAAATATAGCTTATCAAGTTCCTACAACTTCATTCGCTAATGTTCTTTAAAAAAAAGGAAATGGTGGAATAGTTTTCCTTCTTCACTGCATGAACTGGGATACATTTAGTTTTTACCTAAAAATTGTGCATTCTTGAAGCGGAACTTCTCTACAAATAATATATCTTAAATATATCTGCAGTACTAAAGGACAAGGCAAGAATTCTAAATTGGTTTTAGACGCATTTCATATAGCCAATGTTTTCAGAAACACATTCCAAAGATGTATTATAGAAAAGATTTCTCGGCTACAATTAAAACTAATATGCCACATTCTTATGGTCAAACAAATTTGGAATGATTAGATTGAGGAATTAGAAGTTTGATTTTTACATACAATTTCTCAATATCAAGGTAACCCGGAATAAAATAGAGCTGATAAACCTTAATTTTTGATTAATGCCGCAATAATTTTTTCATTTTCTTATGGAGTTTGCTGTATTTTAAAAGTTGACTCGCACTTGTGATTGTGTGCGTTAGTCATGGACTAGATTTATTATCAAAGGGGCGCCATAGACTAACGACACGAAGCGTCAGCCGTCTGTTCCCGACGTCGCAATCATACACATTGTTACATTTGTATAGGAGACGAAGCTTTAGCTGTGTGTAAAAAGAGTTAACAAATTTTATGGCACTCATTAAACTTTCTTCCAGCAGCGAATGAAAAAACACACAGAAGGGGTAGTCATGTGTGCTGGCTACCTGCCAGATCTACTTGTTTCCTTATTTATTTCTTTAAAGGTACCCAAGTCTTCATCAACTGTGTGCGTTTGAGATGATACCTCTTTACTCTTTCCTTTCCTTTTCTTGTGCAGAACACTCGTTTGCTAGCCACTGCACCGAATATACCCGTACATATATCATTTAGTAAAGGCGCCCAGTTACGTCAATTATTCGTTGCTTAGCTGAACTGTCATTCCCCCAAAATATCCCAATAATGCCTAACAACTGAGAATTGTACCACCATTTTTTAGTTATTTGTTTAGTTACCTAAAAGGAATCTCCTTACAATGCAAAGGAATATCTTGTCATAAGGATATCGTTGTAACATTTCATATATTTGTATCTAAAAGTTTCGTTTGTTTTTAAATTTTATCTGCTAACGCTTTTGCCTACTGCCTGTATCAATGGAAGAACTCTAGATTATACCTCCCCACAAAGTTTGCTATGATAGTTACGAAGTTTCTGTGCGCTTTGGGTTGTCCTTGCCTCTGATGTTCACAACTTA